GCTACAGTCGGCCCAGATTAGTAGGTCGACCCTGCCAAACCAAGGATACTCTTGTGTCCCGTGTGTGAAAGCTGTGCGCGGCCCGCTTCGCTTCGACCGGAAGAGGCTCGCTCTCGACCCGCGAATCCAAAACATGTGTCCCGTGTGTCCGCGGCACATGCCTTCTGCAGTATCGTGGCAAGGTGGCCCTCGGAAGGCTCTCGTGTCCTCTCGCGTGTCCTCTCCAAGCAGTCCCGACTGTAGGCGCAGCCCCTGCGGGTGGCTCGGCGCGCCCTCGCGCGCTGCGAGCCAGGCCCCCGGGCGGCAGGTGCGCCCCACGGCGGCGCGAGGCCGGGGCTGCTCTCGGCCGCCGCGCGCAGAGGCCTCCGAGGCCCGAGGCGCGGCCGTGCAGCCCGCAGCCGCCTGCGCGCGCGCCCGCCGTGCCCAGGCGAGCCGCTCGCACTCTGAAGGCGAGCGGAGCTCTTCATAAGGGGGCCACGTGCGAACCCTACGCCTCCTCCTCCTCCCCCTCCTCCTCCCCCTCCTCCTCCTCCCTCCTCCTCCTCCTCCCCTCCTCCCTCCTCCTCCTCATCCTCCTCCTCCTCCTCCTCCTCTCCTCCTCCTCCTCCTCCTCCTAGGGGGCCGCATGCGAACCCGACCCCTACCCCCCCACGAGTTCTGAGGGGGAGGGTGGGGTTCACTTCGCTCGGGAGCTCCCGAGCGAAGTGAACCCCAGAAATCGTAGGGGGTAGGCGTAGGGTTCGCACGTGGCCCCCTACTTCAGCCGCGCGCAGGGATGGGCAGGGGGAGGGGGGGAAGGCTTCTCAGCGGCACCCCCTGCTTCTTGGAGGGCGTGGGCCCTTCCTGTGGAGCTGCGTGGCCGGCGCCCTCCAAGAAGCAGCCTCCTTCTCTAAGGAGCTTTCCCCCTCTCCCCCTCCCCCCTCCCCCACCGGAACAAGTCGCTGAAGCATCTGACCACGCCCCCAGCCTGCTGCAGAGATCCGATTGGGCTCCAACGGGCCCCAGGCGCACCGGCGGCAGGAAAGCCTAGGGGAATCTCCTCAGCCCTTCCGATCCCCATGGCTGCATCTTCGAACAAGATCCCCATGGCTGCATTGCCCCAAGGCAGCCCGTGTCCTGCCCTTGGGTGGCACACCAAGCTGGTACACCAGGCCTCTGGTCCCACCAATGGGTTAAGGCGTACCTAAGCCATATTACTTCAAGTGCCTCCTCCTCCTCCTCCTCCTCTTCGTCGTCCTCCTCCTTCTCCCCCTCCTCCTCCTTTTCCTTCTTTTCCTCCTCCTCCTCCTCCTACTCCTCCTCGTCCTCCTCCTCCCCCTCCCCCCCTCCTCCTGAAGGAGAGAGAAGTGCGACGACGACGCCGCCGACGACGTTGACGACGACGACGACGACGACGACGACGACGACGACGACGACGACGACGACGACGACGACGACGACGACGACGACGACGACGACGACGACGGACGGCGACGGCGACGGCGACGGCGACGGCGACGGCGACGGCGACGGCGACGGCGACGGCGACGGCGACGGCGACGGCGACGGCGACGGCGACGGCGACGAAAACGACGACGACGGTGGCGACGACGACGACGACGAAGACGACGACGACGGAAATGACGAAAACGACGAAAACGACGACGAAAGCGACGAAAACGACGACGACGAAGACGGCGGCGGCGCCGCCGCCGCCGCCGACGACGCTCGCGATGCTGACCGGCGACGAGCGGCGGCGGCGCCTTATGCGGCGCGCCAGGTGCTGCGCGGCAGCGGCGCGCCCGCGTGAGCCGCGGCTGCCCGCGACGGGGGCTGGCACTGGCTGCCGGGCCTCGCGAGGGCCTGGTGCGCGGAACGTGCCTGGCGCCCAGAGGGGGGCTGGTGCGCGGAACGAGGGAGGGGCAGTGGGGAGGGAGGGAGGGAGGGAGGGAGGGAGGGAGGAGGAAGGAGAGGGGGAGGGGGCAGAGGTGGAGGAGGAGGATGGGGGAGGGGGAGGGGGCGGGGGGTGGAGGAGGGTGAGGAGGAGAAGGGGGAGGAGGCAGGAGGCAGGAGGCCGGAGGAGTAGGAGGGAGGGGTGGCGGAGGAAAAACGGGCTCGGAGCCAGAAGGGATGAGGATAAGAAGGAGGAGTTAGGAGGCAAGAGTGATGGGGCAGGAGGGGGAGGGGAGGACGGGGAGGAGTGGATGTGGATGAGATGCTGAGGGAGTGATGGGGGAGGAGGATCGAGGGGAGAAGAGATGATGGTGACGATGATGATGACGACGCTGATGATGATGCTGGTGATGATGGTGGTCATGATGGTGGTGATGGTGGTTGTGGTGGTGAGAATGACAATGATGATGCTGATGCTGTTGATGATGATGGTGGTGGTGATGGTGGTGCTGCTGATGATGATGCTGCTGCTGTTGGTGATGATGATGCTGATGCTGCTGATGATTATGGTGCTGATGATTGTGATGGTGGTGGTGGTTTTGGCGCTGCTGATTATGGTGACGATAATGCTGATGATAACGATGATACGGCTGCTGATGATGATGCTGATGTTGCTGCTGATGATGCTGCTGTTGATGATGATGATGAGGGTGATGGTGATGATGATGCTGGTGATGATGATGATGGTGGTGAAGATGATGATGATGATGATGATGATGATGATGATGATGATGCTGTTGCTATTGCTGGTGATGATGCTGCTGCAGCTGATGGTGATGATCTTGGTGATGATGATTATGATGATAATGGTCCTGCTGACGACGACGATAGATGATGATGACGATGATGACTATGCTGCTGATGATGATGCTGCTGACGATGATGATCGCGACGATCATGCTGATGGTTATAGTTATCATGACGATGCTGATGACGATGGTAATGACGATGCTTACGACGATGACAATGATGATGGCAATGCTGATGATGCTGATGATGATTCTGATGATGACGTTGATGATGACGATGATGATGCTTCTGATGACGATGATGACGATGACGACGATGATGATGCTGATGACGACGATGATGACGTTGATGCTGCTGGTGATGATGTTGATCATGATTATGATGCTGATGCTAACGATGATAATGATGAAGATGATGAGGACAATGATGATTCCGACGAAGATGCTGCTGCTGATGACGATGATGAAGATGATGCTGATGATGATGCTGCTCATGACGATACTGATGATGATGCTGATGATGCTGATGATGGTGATGATGATGACGACGCTGATGATGATGGCGTTGCTGATGATGATGCAGGTGATGATGGTGATGATGATGATGATGATGATGATGATGATGATGCTGATGAAGGTGCTGCTGCTGCTGATAATGCTGATGCTGATGCTGATGCTGCGGCTGATGATGATGATGATGATGATGATGATGATGCTGATGATGCTGATGCTGATGATGATGGTGATGCTGATGATGATGATGGTGATGGTGCTGATGCTGATGATGATGATGCTGATGATGCTGCTGAAAATGAGGATGATGATGATGCTTATGCTGATGATGATGATGATGATGATGATGATGATGATGATGATGATGATGATGATGATGATGATGATGATGATGATGATGATGATGATGCCGACGAGATGGAGGAGTAGGAGGAGGAGGGGGTGGAGGAGGAGGCGGCAGATGGTGACGATGAGGATGGAGATAATCCGTAACCAGCGGCCTGAAGCCTATGCTTGTTGTGTGGGCACTTCGCAGAAGGGGTGCTCTGCTAGTGGGGTCGACGCTGGCGCGGCGCCCTGGTGAGTTCTGCCTGGGGACAGTCGGCAGAGAGGCGCCCTGCTATTTTGGGGGCAGAGCTGGCGCGGCACCTGGGTATTATTTCCGGGTCGATCAGCAGAGTTTCAGGAAGGAAAAGAACACACAGACACAATTAATCGTCGATTCCCCAGAAGATCTGGGAAAATACGGGCAGTGTGGGGGGGAAGACAGAAACCCAGCACATATGGGAAAATATGGGGAATGATTGTACTTGTGTGTATTTATTTGTGTGTCCTGGGGCTCCTTCAGAGTTGCGCTGCGCTGCTGAGTGCGAAGCTCGAACGGGCTTCGGGGTGGACGGTGTTGGGCGACTTGACAGAGCAGCGCTCTGTTGAGGGGAGGAGGGCCCGAACGGGCAACTTTTGAGCCCCTTGCCGGGGGGAAGAGCATCACACGCCTGACCACCCCAAAGGGGCTGGCACAACAGCGTAAAGATGGCGGAAGTCTGTAAGCCACCAGATCAGCGTGCCGATGTCCATCCACGAGGTGGGGCTCGTGTTCCACGCCCTCCGCTTCCGTAGCCGTTTTGGCTTGAATCTGATGCTGCTGATGAGGATGCTGATGATTATGATAATGATGATGATCATGCTGATCTTGATGATCATGCTGATCATGATGATGCTGATCATGATAATGACGATGACGACGATGATGTTGATGATGATGGTGATGATGCCGCCGATGATGATGATGATGATGCTGATGATGATGATGACGATGACGATGACGATGACGATGATGATGATGATGATGATGATGATGATGATGATGATGATGATGATGATGCTGATGATGCTGGTGATGATGAGGACGAGGATGATGATGATTCTGATGCTGATGCTGATGCTGCTGCTGATGATGATGATCATGATTGCGATGTTGTTGATGGTGATGATGATGGTGATGATGACCATGATGCTGCTGCTGATGCTGATGCTGCTGGTGCTGCTGCTGATGATGATGATGATGATGATGATGATGATGATCATGCTGATGCTGATGATGATGCTGATGCTGTTGTTGATGATGCTGCTGCTGCAGATGACGTAGCCGTTCTGGCTTTAAAAGCTGCTCTCAGCTTCCCCCGGCCGCTTGCTCGCAGGCCCCTCCCCACGACCCCAGAGCAAATGGCGAAGTCGCAGGCCGCGGAGGAGGAGGATGAGGAGGAACGGGAGGAGGAGGAGGAGGAGGAGGAGGAGGAGGTGGAG